AGTATTGAAATATGAGTCTACATATATCTAAATAATACCACTAGCCCTTAACTCATATTCCAGTTGGGCTTAACAAATACTAAATTATGCCTCAACAAATACTAAATATCACATAAAACTAAGCAACAAACATGAAAATAACAAAACATGTACAGAATATATGATAAAGGGAAAGAACAATAATACAAGGAGGCCAGATGGGGAGGCGGAGGGTTAGAAACAAAAGTATAACAAAAAGCACATTGCAAGATGGCGGATGCAGAATAAAAGTTTCTGCACACGGTTCCTGAATGATGAGGTAACCAAAAGTTTAAGAAACGAGTTCTGATTGGCTATGACGCAAATATAGGCCTATTACTTTCATTAATATTCATTTTTGACCAATCATAATTTAGTCTGAGAAACTGGAATTTTTTTTAGATAAGACCAATAACCGTGGAAATTTGAGCATTCAAACCTATGCGTGTCCAGAATTATTTCTGTTTGAAAGTTAAAAAGAGTCATCTTTTGTTGAGACACTGCCATATATAAAAAGGAAAAGAATTTCTAGTTTGAGATATTTTTGAAGAAGTTATGTGATTTTTGTAGATTTCTAGTACTACTGAAGACTATTTATACATATTCAAGACTGTCGTTGTAATATATCTTAAATATGTAAGGACTTTCAATGCATCAGAAGGTTTAAGCTTATTGAATATATTTTTGGCTCCCAGACCTGTTTCACAGACAAGCTGCACAGGTTAAACCATCATCAACTATATGTACCAAAAAAATACTTCTAATATATTGTCAAGTAACAAAATTTGTGCACGCTCTAGGCCGAATAATTCAAAAAATCAAAACAAACAAAAAAACACTTTATTTCTAAGCAATATCACATGGTCGGACTTGTTTAATCCACCTCAACAAAAAGTGAAATATATTCATGTTATGAATTGTCTTGGATATACAACATATTTTTGTTCCACTTTAAGCATACCTCAGTTTAATTAAAATTACACCAAAATTCTGGTCCGCCTTAAGACCCTAACAGAAGTTGCTAAATTAAAAATAAAAGTTAATAAAAAACGGAATGAAAGTCATTCTTCACCTTGCCATCATTCACCACAGTATGAATTTTATTCTTCAATTTTAAGATATTTAACTTTTAAAGTAATGTCAAGCAAAGAATATTTTCTATATGGCCTCAATATTTAATAAGGTTGTATGAAGAGGTGATAATGAGAAAGACAGATCTAGTCATTGAAGATTTAATACTGAGTAGCATGATACATTGGATTGGCTACTCCTTGTCTAGCTTCCACACTAGAGAGCTGGAGAAAGATATCATCTTACTATCATTACATAGTTTAATTGATTCACCCCTCTAGTAAACAATCAACTTGAAACATTCTACCAAACACCTTTCTAATCTCATGCCAATTCCCACTGGTTTGAGTGAGACTTAATAATCATCAATGGCGTCAACTTCCAATTTTCTTAACTACTCATAACACTGAATTTCATTACAGCTCATTTTCCACTTCTGGTACCGGTACATGACTTTCATCCTTTGTTACAAATTGAACAAATTCATGGCTGAATTTTTCGAGGCAGAGTGATTCATTTAAGCCAAATGTGTTCCTACATAAATTGTCTTTACTTTTTATCAATAAGAAATGAGGCTAAAATGAGATCATTTTCCCACTAAGCCAAAAAAATCTGAGTGTGCTGTCTTAATCATCAACAGTATAACTGATATCAATGAAATCTAATTGTACTACATGAAGATGTAGTTTAATTATTTATGTCAAATGCTTCCTTTAAGTTTAAAGTTCCTGCTATTTTTTGATTTGAAGGTATTTTGCCAGAATTTCTCTGCTAGTGATGGCATAATATTCCTGGTAATAAACAGTTATTATTGAAAAAATTAAATATTTTTATGATTCAAAATTCCATTCATCATCTCACAACAGAAGAAAAAAAAAAGATTAATTTAAACTCAAACAAGAGGATATGTATTGTATTTAAGTGATAGAAACATATCATATCTATTTGATAGAATATTACAATCTAACAACTGACTTCAAACAGTGTGAAACGTATCAAGAAAAGATGAGAATAGACTATGGTATGTTTATCACAAATTAAATTGTGTAATTTATAAAAAAAAAAAATGAAAGTCTGTCTTGTTATATGATTAATCTATATACAATACACTTAGATGAAAACAGGTGAAACTATTCTTGAGACACATGTTAGATATTAAAACCATATCAGCCTCTGATAGCTATTTTGAAAGTTGTCAGCTGGTGTAGAGACAGAAATAAAAGGCCTTGTTTTATTGGAATCCTTCAGGGGTTTCAAATCTATTTATTTAAAAATTTGATCTGTCAAACCCAATAAATATATTGAAAGGATGGAAATTTTTGTAGTTCAGTCATACCATTATAATTCCCCTACACCATTTATGTCACGTCTGCTATTGCATCAAACCTATCTATAATAAAACTGATCTCTTGTTGGCCATTTAAAATTACACAACCAAAATTCATACATATTTGTACAAGCAAGACAATTCAGTTAATCAAAATCTTGTCCAAAGTATCCCAAATAACCCACCCTGAATGTACACTATGTGTGTTGACAAAAAGGAAAAAGTTGCATGTGTGAAGAATCAATAAGTTCAAGTGATACGATAATGGTATAATAAATATTTATATAGCAGATGTAATTAATTGATAGAGGAAAATGAAAACTATTTACATTAGCAACCAGTGACCTAATTATTGATTGTTGTACTAATTCTAGAATCTTTCATATAGAAAATTTACTACACAATCAGATTATCAATACATCTTTTTTATTGATTATTATCTCATAATATCTATTAATACCAATTCTATTAATTATCTACCCTAGTAGATAAAGTCATAAAGATTAATGTGCAATCCAGGTGGTGTTGGCACTTGGGAGTAGTTTATACCACTGTCATTTGGCTATGCACAGATTGCTTGCATGAAAATTGTGTCATGCCCTTATAGGAGGTACTGTTAAAATCAAATCTTCTTTTGGTAAACAGATACATTATATGTCTCTGTATCATAATCCCCCTACACCATTTATGTCACGTCTGCTATTGCATCAAAACTTTCTATAATAAAACTGATCTCTTGTTGGCCATTAAAACTATGCAGCCAAAAGTTGCAAAATGAAAATTACAATGATACCCAACAATAATTTATTATTGATCTTTGAAAACATTATAAAATCATTGTTGGTGTTTCCAGTAATTTTCCTGGTTTTTTTTTGACAATCGCTATATTTATTTGACAATAATGACAATGTCATTGAGATGGTTTATTTTCAGACAGCAGTTAAAGGTTATGCTTCTTACTTTCTCTGTCTACCAAACTGCAGCCATAATTTGTCCAATCTATAACAAAGGGTGCCTAATATTAATGAAACAAAACCTATAAGCTTAAAGATTGATAGATGAAAAGTGACCAGCAATATAAAATTCTTCCCTCACAAATTGTCAATTTATAATTCTCACTAATTAACCAGTTCTCATTAACATTAAAAAAAATCATTCCACAGATGAAGAAAAATTGTATGTAGATTGTAAAGAAATCAAATTGACAGAAATTTGTTGATTATCCACATTAACTTTTATACTCTTCCATATTTTGCTTGGAATTTAAAACTCCTTATTTTTTCAATAACTCTTAAATGGCCAATGTAACAGGTGATATTTTAACTCATCACCTACATGCTTCAGGACTTATTGGTTCTATTGATTATTGCTTCACATGCCTGTGACACCAGACACCAGCATTTACAACAGACACCAGCATTTGGAATTCAGATTGATTATCAGTGTAGGCTAGTGGTTCATTTTTCGACTGTCAAAACACAACACTGTAAAACTAGGCTATAATTTCAAGGTAAATTACAGTGACAGTGGCGGTGCGTCATAATGAAACAAACATACTCACATAAACGGGGAAAATTTTAAAATTTCAATACATCTGTGAAGATCTTTTCGTATGAAATTCAAAGTTTACTCAGATAAACATTTCAACCGGAATTTTTGGCCGCCATGTTGTCACAACACGTATCACGTGACAGCATACGTAAAGAATAAATTGATTCAGACAACAATTAACTATTGATATGGTGACCGGTGTTGTCTCCCATGAAGTAAATGTTCACAATACGTCCTGTAAAAAGGCCAACTTCACATGATGGTTGAATTTGTGTATCTAATATTGAAAGGACAGATAAATCTTCAATTCTTAACTTGGGTACTCTACTATTATAACTGTTTATTCTCTAATTTAAATGTGAACCTATACATGAACTGTGGTACAAGTGTTTGCTTTAAAAAAACAGTAGAGAGCCTCAGTGAGCTAGACGCTTGTTTGCTGACCTAAAGGGCCAGCGTTTAATCCTGGCATAGGTCGAAATAATACCTTCAGATTTTTCAAGCCGGTTGTCCCTTGTCAGTGATGCAGGTAAGAGGGGCTGACATGGAAAAATCGTCTAGTTGTTCGGATGGGACAATAAACCGATGCCCTGTGTGCTACAGGCTGTGCACATTAAAGATCCCTTGACAGTTGGAAATCGAAAAAGAGCTAACTAGCTGCTGCCGTCTTGGCAAAATTTCCCTCATTGCACTCTGCATGGCGTTGTCCGTCTTCATTATCCCTCATGGTGCAGAAAATTTGGATGTAAAACTCCATTCATTTAAAATATTTTAGAATTTGGATTTACAATATATCCGACGCTTGATACTATTTAAGAAATCAGAAAATTGATTGAGTTAAAACTTTGACATATGCCTTCTATGTAAATAAACTGAGTGTAGTTGGGTTGCCAGCATTCGAGATTGAGGATACAAATAGGGGGCAGATCGACTTAATGGGGGGATAACTGTTGAGGCTAAGTTAAAAATGTAGAATAGAATATCTATAGAATAATGAAGACATGGTGTTACACATAAAGCAGTTACATGTTCTAAACATTTACAGTTTATTAAATACAATTTTACACTTCATCAGATAAAAATTTTCTTTTCTTAGCAGTGTTCATGTAAGGTCTGTGTACCCATTCTATATCTGCAGTAGATTTGTTTTCAATAGTTCCTTGGATAATTTGATAAATTTTCATTTCCATTCTTGGCCCAACCTCCTTCAGTTTTATTTCTTTTCCCTCACCCTTTTCATAAACATGATGCCTAAATGAAATAAAGTCATCATCATTCATAAATGTCATAATTCTTTTACTGTCCTCTTTTGGCACTGGAAAAAGGAATTTCAAAATATTTTTCACTCGGTTTCCCAACTTTGAAGAAAAGTTCTGAAAAATAAGATGAGGATAAGCCTCTGACATAGTCCCAACATCTGGTATGTCATGTCGCATGACCACATTGAAAAGTGAGAAATAGGCAGTAGGTCCATATGGTAAATGTGACACAATTAACCCAACTGGTGTTCCTCTGTGTTCAGAAATGATTACAAGATCTGTTACACTGTTGGCTCTACATGCTTCAACAAGTTGTTTAATATCATAATGACCACGATTTATCCTTTGACTATTTGGAAACAGCAATTTCATTTCTTTTGCAAATTCTTTCAATTTTGAACTTGGATCTCTAGCAGTCGTGACAATAATTTTTGGATCTTCTACTCCAGCCCATTTGTATTCATCATCTTCGTTAGTAGTTGCTCCCTCGCCTCCTTCATCGTCCCACCCTATGGTTTTTTGAATGTCAATTGCTTTTTCAGACAAATGACTTGGAATTCTTTTATTTTCATCCAAAGAATTTTTTATTGCCTGCTTGTTTTCTTGAATTGTCCTGAGTTTATTCTCTTGAGTTTTTCTATAAACGTATTCACGGCGAAGACGAGCTTGTCTTCGCAACATGGTTGGTACTTTTGTTGAAAACTAACTGAAAAATATCACAACAATTTAATAAAGATGTAAACACGTTTTCTTTACAGCGGAAATATACATCTCTTCAATGCGCATAATCGCGTATTCGATTATATGAACGATGGCCTCTTACAACTGAAGATCTTTTGAATCATTCTGTTATTCTTTCTTTTTCCTGCGTTTTGTTAAAAATTTAACTAACGTTTGATAAAATTCGAATATCTTAAGTACCAAAGAAACAAATTCTGGGCAAATATTAGTCTTGTAAAAGATAATTTAGACATGACGACAAATCAAGTACAACTTGAAAGATAAGAAAGATAACTCTCTCTATTACTATTTCATTAAAATTTGATCATGACAGACTGGACCAAAATTCCAATTAAAGGAATTCTCTTGGACATAACAGGGGTCCTTTATGAAAGTGGAGGTCAAGCCATTGATGGCTCAATTGATGCTGTAGCCAGGTACTCCTTAGTTTGCCTGATAAACCACTTTATGCAGACTTGTTATTTCTGTGCTCAGACCACATTTAATTTTTCTAAATGTGGATTGTAGATTTAGATTTTTTTATTAGGCCTAGTCTACTTATTTCTTCAACTTTTTTTTTATGTTATTCTCTATATTTCTTTCTATATTTCTTTCGTCCAGAGCTTTGGCCTATTATACATTCTAAAGCCGATAAAAGGTCTGGCCTAAAGTCAAAAGCCATATGAATGGAATAGCCTATATAAGCTTAGCTTAGCCTACATTTAAATGTTTATATTGAATAATTAAGAAATTTCAGTTTCAAAAGATAAAATCCAATTCAGAAATATTGGTAAGAGACTCGGTATTATAGGGTAATTGCATTTCAGATTAATGAAAAGTAAGATACCAGTGCGATTTTGTACAAATGAAACATCATGCACAAGGAAAGCATTAGTAGAGAAACTACATAGATTTGGGTTTTCTATGGAAGAGAAAGATGTATTCCCTCCTATACCAGCCATGTCTTCTATTTTAAAACAGAGAAAACTTCGACCATTTACCATCTTAAAACCAGGTAGTAAGTTTAGTCATTAGGCCTACTTGTTAATTGATCTGTTATGGCTTCAAATATGTTCAATCATCTTGAGCTTTGCAAGGTTTGGAGTCCTAAGGCAACATAATCTCAATGTCATATTACACTTAGGTTTTTCAAAATACAATGTTTTAACAATTTTTTTTTCAGAGGCAATGGCTGATATGAGTGAAATAGATTGTTCAAATCCTAACTGTGTAGTTATTGGAGATGCTACGACAGAATTTTCTTATGAAACCCTTAATAAAGCCTTCCAGTTATTAGTTTCATTAGATATGCCATTACTATTTTCCTTAGGCAGAGGGTAAGTATAGTCATTGGAAAACTTGGAGAGGGGATTCTGTTTTAAACTAAGGATGGATATAGTGTGGTAGTTGTATGACACATCAATTTATATTGAACTCTTCCATATATTTATACTTTCACCAATATATAACAGTATACGGTATGATTGAAAAAATATATCTTCAAAGTTAATGGTGTTTTTTTATTTGTCTGTAAAACTATATCAAGTCCAGGTTTGAATTTTACATTTAAAAAGAAACTATGTTCAATCAAGATGAGCAGAAATTGGTCATTTGAACCAAAAGCTTCACATGCCAGAATAAAGGTGTTTATTTTCACCATGTATAATATTAATTAGAATGCATAATAAGATCAATTATAAGGATGTTGAATTCTTTCCAGTAAATATTATAATGAGAATGGTAAACTGGCTCTGGATGTTGGATGTTATATGAAAGCACTAGAGGTTAGATACATGCATAGTATTATCTATTTACAAACATATAGGCACAAATCTAAAAACAATATAAAGACAATGGTTTTAGAAACTGAGCAAAAACATTGTAGAAGATCAGACTTTTGTCAAATCTATGTCGCACTTCCAAGATGTATTTTGTGTAGGGCTGATTAAAATAATCAAAATAATAGATTATATTTATATGTTTGATTATCAATTATAGAATTTCATAATCGATTCAATGTCAAAGCTGTATTTTTCCCTGTGTATGTGTTGTAGAAGAACCCAACTTCATATTTCACTCAACTTCATATTTCAGTCTTGAAAAGTGATATTTTTATTTTTCTTTAAGAATTCACCCTTATAGCCAAGTGTACAATTTCAGTATGCATGTGATATCCAGGCTGAAATAGTAGGCAAACCATCCAGAAGTTTCTTTAATGCTGCTTTAGAAGATATGTCAGTGTCAGCTGATCAGGTAAGGAATAATGATGGATTTAGACAACTTCCTTGGCATATGGTATATTTTGTGCAATATTTCTTGAAGAATCTCATCTTTAAACTTTAAAAAAATTCATATAATTTTTTTAATTTAAAACTGGATTACATTACTGTAATTCATTAACATATTATTATATAAGATAAGATTATTGTATGGTATAGAAATATAAGATAATTTTTTTTGTACTCGGTGGTGATGATTGACATTGTATCATGTAGAAATATAAGATAATGTACTTTGTACCAGATGGTAATGATTAACATTGTATCATGTAGAAATATAAGATAATGTACTTTGTACCAGATGGTAATGATTAACATTGTATCATGTAAAAATATGAGATAATATATTTTGTACTAGGTGGTGATGATTGACAATGTATCATGTATAAATATGAGATAATATATTTTGTACTAGGTGGTGATGATTGGTGATGATGTTGTAAATGATGTAGGGGGAGCTCAATCTTGTGGTATGAGAGGTGTTTTAGTCAGAACAGGAAAATACAGGTAAGGCTTATGGACCATGTCTTTCTTCCTAAATTACCATATCTTGGTCCTGAATTTGAATTGGTCCACAGGACTGGAGTTTGTGACAACATTCAAATGACACTAGTATATCCATAACCATATATCAATAGCCCTGAATTTGGCACACAGGATACCTCACTGATTATTGAATGGGTGTGGAACTTATGAAGAACCTGTGAAGCTTGAAGCTCATTTTCTAATAAATTATTATTATTTTTCAGATTTCAAGATGAAAATCACCCAGAAGTTAAACCTGATGGTATTGTAGATAATTTGGCACAAGCTGTAGATATGATCTTAAAGGCATTGTAGTCTGGTTTCTGTGTCAAATTTTCTATCCTTGAAAATAATCCTTTTATTTGGTGGCCAGAATAATCATTAATAATCATTTTTCTGGATTGAGGTTGTTACATAATATTGAAGTAACTTAATTATGAGCTGGGCAGGTCAAATTAATGTCAGACTTGTAATAATTAACATTTTTTTTTGAATGTTTATTCATTTGTAAAGGTGATTGATTTGTGACTGACAGACTGACATTTTCATCCACAGCCATACAACTAAGAAACAATCTGATTACTAAATGGGGGCAGTTTACCTTAAAAAATAAGAGAGTTGCACTCCGAGATGAGGCTGAAAGGGTTGAATCTTGCCTACCTCCTAAATTCACCACTGATCAAGACCTCAATTCAAACAAAGGTCAGTTTCTGGAAAAGGTGCATATTCAGAGTTTTCAATAAAAATTGTTTTCTTTATTACTTTTATCAGTTACTTTTTTATTGGTGTGATGGTGATTGCTTTAAACAGCTTTGATTAAAAAATTGTTTTAACACTGTTTGATCTAGATTTGTGTAATTTTTGTTAATTTATACATTGTAAAAAAGATTACTAAAAATTTGTATGCCTTAATTTTAATCATCAGAAATACAACCTTTATGTAGGTATTTTGTACAAACTTGTGACATGAAACCGACTCTGTTTTATATAACCAATAGGATTGGTTACAGGTTTCACTGCATTCCTGGTTTCTCTATTAGCTAAATTGTTTGATAACCATTGTAATGGTTTCTTTAGAGTTTCTCTTTGCATTCCACTTACAGGAAAAACCATGACATCTGCAAACAAAACAAAAATTGTACGTTTTTTCCCAAGAAATTAAAGAAGTTTTTAGACGGAAAGGGCTTGCTAAATCAGGCAAGCACATTATACACAGCTATAAAAAATATTGAATTATTTACCTCTGTATCGTTTATTTCCACACTTTTCTATCAATTTCTCATAAATTCTTCTGCAGTCATGGCGTTAGGTTTATCTTGTTTATTACACAGTAACATAAAAATACTGTCACGTAATTCATCTTCATTTAAACACTGACAGAGTTCACTGAGAGCATCATCTAATCTTTCATCATCCGTACTATCTACTATATATAGCAGGGCATCTGTGTTCAGAAAATAATGTCTCATTAATGGACGCTGAAATTTGTATTGAAAGTTGTATTATTTTTATAGGCCAAGATAGCTGCTAGGATAATGTCATATGAAAAAATGGGGTTTTAATCCCTACTAAGATAATGTCATAGCAAAACATAATGATTAGCAATATTAAAAAAAAAAAGACCCAAGTACGATCCCATGTTCCTTTAGCAACAGTACCATGATTATCATTATCATCTTATTGATGCTAAAGGAACATGTTACGATCTAAACCACAAAAGGAAATTCAAAATTCATAGATTTACTGGTTATATTAGAGTGTTTGTATCAGTCATAGTTAGAAAAATGAAATAATGATGAAATAATTTGGAAATTAAAACTGTTTTTCAGAAAAACAAAAGACTTTTTTTTTCACAAATATGAGGTAAAACAATAAATTATTTTCATTACTACCCCTGCCTATGCCAAATTTTGGTTATAAAATGTGTCCTTAATTACTACAATGTATAATTAAATGATAATAATAATTTATTTAATTCAAGTAGGCCTATACCTACTATTTTGCATCTTCCTCCAACATCAAAGGCATTGAAATTTAGACCTGACTTTTTCTACTGCACTGTGTCTAAAGAAAAACCTGAAAAACAGAATATCTAATAAAGATTTACATATATCTTTGCTCATTCAACATTCAAATATGTGTGGGTAAAGCTACTCTGCTATCAGACAACAAATTGAAGAAAATACCAACCACATTCCAGAAAGTTTAAATTGAAAAAAAAAGTGAAAAAAATAGAAGAATTGAAAGGAATGAATAGCTTACTTACCTATACTTGGTATAGTTGTTACAACTTCTCCTAATTTCAATGTATATAAAATAGTTGATTTACCAGCAGCATCTAAACCTACAAATAATATAAAATAGTTGGTATAGTTGTTACAACTTCTCCTAATTTCAATGTATATAAAATAGTTGATTTACCAGCAGCATCTAAACCTACAAATAATATAAAATAGTTGGTATAGTTGTTACAACTTCTCCTAATTTTAATGTATATAAAATAGTTGATTTACCAGCAGCATCTAAACCTACAAATAATATAAAATAGTTGGTATAGTTGTTACAACTTCACCTAATTTCAATGTATATAAAATAGTTGATTTACCAGCAGCATCTAAACCTACAAATAATATAAAATAGTTGGTATAGTTGTTACAACTTCTCCTAATTTTAATGTATATGAATTTCTTTTCCTATTTCTATATGTCAGCAGTGTCTGAAGAAAAGACAACTCATCTTTTTAACTTTCAAACACAGATAATTCTGGACACACACACATGGATTTGAAGGCACAAATTTCGATGGTGTGTTGTGAACACTATTACTGATTGGTTTAACTTTAAAAAAAAAAAATAAGACTTAGGTATGAATGGTAAAAAAAATGTCCCCATCTGTCCCTTAAAAAATAAGATTACATTTTGAGTAAATTAGCCCAAAAGTACATTTTTAAAGTTTCCAGTAGCCGATATGATAAAGCAATCAATTCGTTTTATTTGATAAAAATCTAAAATTGCCCAACAGTATATTATTTAGTGTTAGTGAGAATACAAAATATAAGACATGTCATAACTACAAATAATATACAATGGTTGATTTACCAGAAGCATCTAAACCTACAAATAATATAAAATAGTTGGTATTGTTGTTACAACTTCTCCTAATTTCAATGTATATACAATAGTTGATTTACCAGAAGCATCTAAACCTACAAATAATATAAAATAGTTGATTTACCAGGAGGATCTAAACCTACAAATAATATAAAATAGTTGGTATAGTTGTTACAACTTCTCCTAATTTTAATGTATATAAAATAGTTGATTTACCAGCAGCATCTAAACCTACAAATAACATAAAATAGTTGGTACAGTTGTAACAACTTCACCTGATTTCAATGTATATAAAATAGTTGATTTACCAGCAGCATCTAAACCTACAAATAATATAAAATAGTTGGTATAGTTGTTACAACTTCTCCTAATTTCAATGTATATAAAATAGTTGATTTACCAGCAGCATCTAAACCTACAAATAATATAAAATAGTTGGTATAGTTGTAACAACTTCTCCTAATTTCAATGTATATAAAATAGTTGATTTACCAGCAGCATCTAAACCTACAAATAATATAAACTAGTTGGTATAGTTGTAACAACTTCTCCTAATTTCAATGTATATAAAATAGTTGATTTACCAGCAGCATCTAAACCTACAAATAATATGAAATAGTTGGTATAGTTGTTACAACTTCTCCTAATCTTAATGTATATAACATAGTTGTTTTACCAGCAGCATCTAAACCTACAAATAATATAAAATAGTTGGTATAGTTGTTACAACTTCTCCTAATTTAAATGTATATAAAATAGTTGATTTACCAGCAGCATCTAAACCTACAAATAATATAAAATAGTTGTTTTATCAGCAGCATCTAAACCTACAAATAATATAAAATAGTTGATTTACCAGCAGCATCTAAACCTACAAATAATATAAAATAGTTGATTTACCAGCAGCATCTAAACCTACAAATAATATAAAATAGTTGATTTACCAGCAGCATCTAAACCTACAAATAATATAAAATAGTTGGTATAGTTGTTACAACTTCTAATTTTAATGTATATAAAATAGTTGATTTACCAGCAGCATCTAAACCTACAAATAATATAAAATAGTTGATTTACCAGAAGCATCTAAACCTACAAATAATATAAAATAGTTGATTTACCAGCAGCATCTAAACCTACAAATAATATAAAATAGTTGATTTACCAGAAGCATCTAAACCTAAAAATAACATAAAATAGTTGGTATTGTTGTTACAACTTCTCCTAATTTTAATGTATATAAAATAGTTGATTTACCAGCAGCATCTAAACCTACAAATAATATAAAATAGTTGTTTTATCAGCAGCATCTAAACCTACAAATAATATAAAATAGTTGATTTACCAGCAGCATCTAAACCTACAAATAATATAAAATATAGTTTATTTACCAGCAAATAGTTGTTTTATCAGCAGCATCTAAACCTACAAATAATATACAATAGTTGATTTACCAGCAGCATCTAAACCTACAAATAAAT